GTATATGTTTCAACACTAGTTTTTGACTCCGGTCCCTACAGAATAGGACTCAGTTACCAAAATGTAAAAAGCAATGCAACCATGTAAAATTTTCACTATTATGGTTATCACACCACACTTGATTTCATTTAGATATTTGATAAAATTACTATTATAAAAATATACTGCCTTTTGACCTTGAATAACACTCAATTATTATGACTATGTTGCACAACCATTGATGTTTATAGCGCATATATTTATTCATTTTCGTGATACATCTTTTTCTGCTCTTACCGTAATCCTTTTCTAGTTTTGTGATATGAAGTTAATTTTATGTTTATAGATGAACCAGGACAGTCCCATAATTCATATATTGACACACAATTTACACTCATCCGTCACACATTTCTTTACTATTTGACTGAATGATTGTTTAAATGTTTTTCATATTACACAAAATAACACAACTCATACTGATCAAAGGCGTCAGTTTTACAGACGTTAAAAAGGAGCGCGAAATGGTGAAGTGGGAACACATGAAGGCAATGGACTACTTGCGTGAACCATCTACAAAATCTGGAGGAAAAAGAGGCGGCGCTGAGTCGAGGGCGGTGGTATTTCGAGGAGGAGGTGCAGGACCAGGCCAGGGTCCTGTGATGGATCTGAAGAGTGAGATGTCTAGCGTTACTGAGGTGGGTCACTCTTCCATTGGGCGTCATGGCCACCGTGTCTTCCTATGGGAAGTAACTAGTAATGCTTTTTATCATTCGACATCCATGTGCCCTATATTCTGTTTTGATTTTATTAATACTTTATATGAAGAGTATATACAGGCACATAAATAAGAACCAAAAATGAAATTTCGGTTGAATTCTTGCTTGCATTTGAGATAGACTGCCTATTTATTTTTTTCGTGACCACATGAGAGATTAATATTCCCTTATTAAATTTGTACCCGTTGTAAATGATTCCATCTCTTTTATTGCTATATTTATACGTCAGCTTTCCTTCTGACTAATTTTGTGATTAATGGTTACAACTCAGCCCATTAGGTCATCAGTGCAATTGCAGCTTCTATACCTAACGGGTATCAAAGAGAGATATCGCATGTCCTACTCGTCTTACCCCAAACACTTTGGCTTAGCAAGTGAAATGATTTGGTTGCATTTAGCCTTAGTCCCTACATTCCTTTGGCACTCTATTTACGGAATGAGTAAATCTAGTGAAGATAATCAAGACAATGTGCTGATCTAATAAATGTATTTTTTAGTTCAAAATTGGATACTCGACTACTCGAAAAATCACAATTTGGGAACAAAATCAAGGATTTTTTCATAAACAATGAATAAACGCTCTTATTTATATGCCGATTATTCATGTATGACATTGTTAAAGTTATAAGTATTCAACTATGCTCAATATGTGTGGGCATTTTCATGTATCACTTTTAAGGCATTATATTTATCTGTTATTTGATACAACAAAGTAGATAATGTCTAAATTAGCTTCTTCGGCATCCAACTACAAAAAATATTTTAACTAGGCACTAAC